TCTGTTATGATCAACACAGTCAAACACCTTTGCATAGTCAGTGAAACACAGATATACATTCCTCTGGTATTCCCTGCTTTCAGCTAAGGTCCATCTAACATTAGCTATAGTAGCATTAGTAATGGTAAGAAAAATATATACAGTGCTTGCTTTGTGGCAGGTCTTAATATAGAATGATCAACATATTTTATATAGGTATTGCACTCAGCGAAAGGCAGGTCATAGATACGAAGCTCCTGTGTCCACCATCAGGATCTTTGTAGGGTACAGGACCAGAATATTTGTATGTGATCATAAGAGCAGATGGTAGAATATAGGATTAAATATGAGCACATTTGATCCTCACAACTTTGTAAAACGGTTGTTGTCAGTTGTAACAGCATGTCCATTTTTATGGAAAGGAAACTGTAACCCAGAAAGACGGTTGTTGTTGTTGTTGTTGCTGTTGTTGTTGTTATTAGGTGCCATTGAGTTGAGTACAACTCATAGCAACCCTATCAATAGCAGATCTGAACTCTGTCTTATTCTGTGCCATCTTCACACTTCCTGACATAGTAGATTCCATTACGGCAGTCACCGTGTCAATCCACCATGTCCAGGGTTTTCCTCTCCTTCACCAACCCTCCACGCTTCCAAGTATCATGCCCTACTCCAAGGAATAGCATCTCCTAGCAACATGCCCGAAGTATGTGAGGTGAAACCTCATCATCCTTGTCTCCACAGAGCACCCCAGCTGTACCCTCTTCAAGAAATATTTATTTGTTCTTTTGGCACTCCATGGAATGTTCCATGTTTCAACATCACAGCTCAAAGGCATCAATTCTTCTTCTGCCATCCCTAATCATTGTCCAGCTCCCAGATGTGTAACAAGTGATCTGAAAGACCATGGCCTGAATTAAGATTAAGACAGACTAGGAAGCAGAATTGGCCATCCACTTCTTAAATAAGAGCCTTTGACAACCCTATGAACAATAGAGGAACACAGATAATTATAATAGAGCCCAGATTGGCTCTATTAAAATTAATAATTTCCTCAGTTAAAATGAGGAAAAACAGTGACAAATATCCCAGAGAGAATAACTGGCAGAAAATCACACAGCCAGTAACTGGACATGAAACCCAGTAGTCTGACCCAGATTCCTCTCTTACTACATAAGAGGCATCTGGCACTGAACATTCTTCACCAAAAAAAGCTAGTTTTTTAAAAAGCTACACATACACAGACATGCATACATGCAAAATTAATTACCTTGGAAATGAGAGAGCAACCGTTCATTATTACAAAATAATTTGGTTTTTTGTGAAGAGTAAATAATCTTAAATAATAAACTCTTCTTTGGATACACTATTAGTTAAAAAATTATTAATGGCTTCCCAGACACACTAGGACAAAAAAACTAAGCCACAGGTCTGGGTCATAACCAAACAAGGATCAAATAGAACTCTTAGGGATCTCAGGCATAATATCAAAACATTATTAGAAGAAAATATAATTTAAAAAAATTTACACACTTAAGAACTAATCTTCGAACATATTAGTATTTTTCCCTGAAGGGAGCTCTGGCGGACTAGTGGTAAGAAGCTGCACTGAAATCTCAAAGGCATGTAATTTGAATCTACCAGCTATTCCATGAAAGAAGGATGGGAACTCTTCTCCCACGTGATTAACTGTCTCTGAAAATCCACTTGGAAGATCAGCTGTGAGTTGATTCCAACTGGACATCACACAACAACAACCACCTTGAATATTGGCTAGACTTAGAAGAAGGAAAATGTGTGAGAGAAATTGTACAATTGAGTAGCTGGACATGTATCTCAACACAGTTTCCCATAAGTGTAACCTGTTCTCCAGTCCCTTCAGTGCTTCAGCAGGGTCACAGGGCACACAATTCTGATGTAACTTTTGGCAATATGGAAAGGACTGCCTAATAGGTGGTTCAATTGTCCACATGAGTGTTATATCAAAGTCATAGTGGTTGCCAGAAGTTCTGATTCTTCTAGAAACATAATCTTATTAAAGCCCAAATGATCCGAATGAATAAGTTTTTGTGGAAGGGCTACAATTCGGATGAGGCAGGGTTAACACAACAAATGAGAAAAGGTGGAATGCCATAGAATAGCATCAGTGGGAAGTTGGTACCATCCATAGATGAAGCATAGGAAGGATTCTAGGGAGGAGAAACCTCCTGGTAAAAGCTACTGCTAGACACTCCATTTCTCTTCTCCCTATCAATCTCCTCCCATTGCAGTTTCCCCATTGACAAACCAGGAAGCAAGGAACATGGGTCAGCAAGATCAATCCTTAAAACAAAGGTCAGGATAAGTAAAGAAGGGAAGAAAACGTATCTGAAGGACAGAGAACAAGGAACACAGTGTCTTTTTCAATTGTAGACTCTTAGACATTGAAAGGAAAAGTAGCATATTTCTGATTATTAAAGAATACCCGAATCAAGATAAAGATCCCACTTCCCATGTCTGGTTTTCACTGATTTTGAGTGTGGAATGCTGAAGAGAAAAGAAAAAAAAATTTCAGATGGAATCTAATCTTTTCAAGGTCCTTACCATAAAAAGATGGTACTGCAGTATGGTCCACAGTAGTCCATTTTTCTGCTGAAGTGATGAGGATGCATGTGGCTAAGATGACTCATCGTTCTGCCTGGATTCACTCCAGAAGTTTTAATGAATCACTTGTGTGGGTGATGGTTTGAGTGTTGTTATTCTTCAGTGAACCCTTTCACACAACCTAGTCAGTGTGTCTTTGTTTGATTCATGAAGGTGACTCATCTGAGGAAGTTGATCTGACCATGGTTTATCAGGCAGCATCTAATGGAGATGTCAATGCTCTGACTGCAGTGATACGGGAAGATCCTTCAATCCTAGAATGCTGTGACAGCGAAGGTGAGCTACTTAACGCATTTTGAATCCTGCAGAACGTTCTGCTTTACCTTTTAGAGAATGTCTTCAGAGATGAGCCACGCTAATAAAATTATAACCGACAAGTCACTCTAATACTGGAAGGATGAGGAATATTCTGCCTGTGGCTACATTCAGAAAGCTCAATATTTCTTTAAATGGGGGTCTTGGAAACAAAGCTTCATATTCTTTTATATCATCTCTTACAATGAAGCCAGCCAGTTCACATTTGTTTCCAACTCCTATGATTACACAGAACTAGTAGTTACATTGGTGTGGTAATGACAATTGAAAGCAGAGATCAAGAAATTCAGCAGCTAGGAAGATACTACTGTAGGCATATTCTTCCCTAATTATCCCAATTAAAATTCCTAAGCACTATGTGTAAAACCTTTTTCTTTATTGTTCCTATAGTTTTTCAAAGGCCTGTGTTGATGGCTCATCCTGCTTCCTAGTCTGTTTTAATCAGGGAGCCAAGGGTAATTTGGAATTTGACCAAATGGAATTTGACACACCAGTGGCACATATTTCAGTCTCACAGCAACCCAACCCAAATTATCTCAGTACAGTAAACTGACAGAAAAATACTATACCACTTGCAACAATGTTCTCCTCACACACAATTAACACTAGTCCTGAGGGCCTCAGGTCAGAGGGCACAACTGACTTTTCCAGATTGCTTAAACAAGAGGCTTCTAGCCCACAGGTGATTGTTAATGAAATCAGAAACAGCCAATCTGCTCACACTTGGTTGTTAACAAAATAAAAACTACCAAAACAGTTTACACATAGCTTTCAAGTAAATTAAAAAAAAAAATAAATTAAAAAAAACCCCAACCCAAAACCACTTACCCTCCAGAATCTAACAGCTACAAGCTGGAGACTCAACCTCAGACAGGACCCAAACCAACTTTTAATTACAAAGGCCGATATACCAGGTCCTGATTGCTTAAACAAGAGGCTTCCAGCCCACAGCTGATAGTTCACAAAAATCAGAAACAGACACTCAGCTTACACTTGATTTTAACAAAATCAGAAATACCCAAATAGTTTAGACCCAGAGAAAGACATGATGCTGGGAAGGGTAGAGGGTCCGCAAAAGAGAAGACCCTCAACTAGGTGGACTGACACAGTAACTGCTACAAGGGGCTCTTGTGTGTCAGGAAGTGTGAGGATGGTGCAGGATAAACAGGGTTCAGATACTTTGTTCATAAAGTCGTCTTGAGTAGTACTCAACTTGATGGCACCTAACAACAACAGTAACAACAACATCTATTTTGAAGTGGTATTTTTATACGGTGTGAGCTAAAGTTTCCTAATTCATTCAGTGAACTTCATTTAGTTGTAAGTGGTTGTACAATTGTCACAGTATCATTGAAAAGATCTTCTTTCCTCATTAAAATGATAGTTACACTCCAGTTGAAAATCAATTGACCATAGATATCTAAACTTATTTCTGAACTCTCAATTCTATTCTAGTGATTCATATCTATCTCTATGCCACTAATACTCTTTCTTAAATGTCATATCTTTGTAATAAGTTTTAAAACCAAAAAATATAAGTCCTTCTACTTTATTCTTCTTTTTATTTACAACTGTTTTGGATAATCTGAGTCCCCTGAAATTTCATACAAATTTGAGAATAGGTGTGTCTGCAGAAATGTCATCAGTAAACAGTGGTGTTATGCAGTATTTGTCCTTTTGTGACTGAGATATTTCCACTCAGCATAATGTCTTCCAGGGTCACCCACGTTGTGTAAAATTTTATGAGTTTCTTATTTATCAGTGTTGCAAAGTCTTCCAGCCCAGAATGAGAGGTACATTGCAAAGAGGACTGGAGGAATGGGGAGAAGGGGCAGAGGGGGTAAAATTTGTAATAACAAATCACTGAAAATCTAACTTTTCAGTAAACTCTTATTAAAAATCACAATTATAATTAAAAATTTTATTTTTTAAAAAAACTGTAAAACACCCTGCCAGAAGGTCAGTTATTAGTCGGTTCTGACTCAATAGTACATAACAAAAAACAATGGTACCAAAGATGTTAATTGTGTAAGATGAAAGCATTGACAATTTCAATCTTTTTTTCCACATATAATGACTGAAAGAGATTTATATTTGTTCCCATTTCAAAGAAAGGTGACCTGACAGAGTGTGGAAATTATCAAACAATATCATTAATATCACATGCAAGAATGATTCTGCTGAAAATTATCCAAAAATGACTGAAACACAACATCTACAAAGAACTGCCAGAAGTGCAGGCTGGGTTTAGAAGAGGCCACGATACTAGGGATATTACAGCTAATGTTAGATGAAGGTTGGCTGAAAGCAGAGAGCACCAGAGGAATGTCTATCTGTGCTTCATTGATTGTGCAAAGGCATTTGACTGTGTGGATCACAACAAACTGTGCTATACTTCTATCAGGAGGCAGTCATCAGAACAGAAAAAGGAAACACTGCATGGTTCAAAATTGGGAAGGGTGTACACCAGGAATGTGTCCTATATCCCTACTTATTCAATCTATATGCAAAACAGATTATTCAGAAGACTGGGTTATATGAGGAGAAAGTGGAATCAGGATTGGAGGAAGACTCATCAACAATCTGCATTATGCATATGACACAACCCTGCTTGCTGAAACTGAGGTGGGCCTGAAGTTCTTATTGTGCAAGGTCAAGGACTGCAGCCTTCAATATGGATTTAAGCTCAATATCAAGAAAACAAAAATTCTCACCACTGGACCAACTGGTAGCAGTATGATAGACGATGATGAAATTGAGTTTGTTAACGGTTCAATTTACTTTGGCTCCACAATCAACACTATCGCTACTAGCAGCCAGGAAATTAAAAGATTTATTGCATTGGGAAAGTCTGCTGTCAGAGACTTCTCCAAAGCATTAAAGAGTAATGATGTCAGTCTGGGGACTAGGATGTGCCTGATTCAAGCCATGGTCTTCGCAATTACTTGCTATGCATCAGAAATCTGGGCAATGACTAGAGATGATAGAAGAGGAATTAATACCTTTGAGCTATGGTTCTAGAGAAGAGTATTGAATATACTATGGACTTCTAGGAAAACAAACAGGTTCATCCTAGAGATAAAACCAGGCTGGTAAGACCAGGCTGCTCTTTGGAGGCAAGGATTCTTAAAATTTCATTTAACATACTTTGGACATGTTGCAAGAAGGGACCAGTCCTTGCAGAGGGATGTCATAATTGGGAGGATGGAGGGACAATGCAAGAGAGGAAGACCATCAATGAGATGGATTGATTCAGTGACTGAGGTAATGGAAGAGGTATGTCAGAGACAGTAAGATTGGCACAGGATGGAGCAGGGTATAAAGCTGTTGTACATAGGGTGAGTATGAGTTGCGACTCATCAATACATAACAACAACAACAACATCATGATGTTGCCAACCAGCCTTTTCTTTTTGGTTTATGATATCAACTTCCAATGGATTATGCCACCAGAGTTCCCTAGCTTATTTAGTAATAATTTTTTAGTTTTAATATAATTAACATTGATAAAATATTTTCTATATGTCTTCTTTAATAAGGCCCAAGAAGTTTTAAAGTTATAAAGAGAGCCCTTTTTTTTAAAATTGTTCTTTTAAAAACTATTAAAATCAAGTAGAAAAATATAGGACCAGAGAGTAGTATCAAGTGTCAAATTATGAGCTTTGCATATATGGCATTTCATTCACTACCATCAGTTAGGTTCTGACTCCTAGTAATCACCCACTGGGTTCCTGAGGTTGTACATCACATTGGGAAGAGGCTGACCATCTTTCTCCTTTCAGAGTTGCTCAAACTCAGAATTAAAGTAGAGACAAAGCACAAGAGCCATATAGACTTTAAATAGAGCTCTCTATATCATATATTGTTGTTATAGTTATGTGCCATTGAAATCCCCGCGACTCATAGCGACTCTCTGCACAATAGCTCTAAACCCAATCGTACTCTATCATGAGCCAGTTTCACAGTCTCCGACACACCTATCCCTGTTACCCTAGTAACTGTGTCAAACCATCTCCTCCAGAGTCTTCCTCTCTTACCCTGTCCCTCCATCATTCCAAGCATGATGTTCTTCCCTAAATACTGGGCCCTCCTGGAAACACACCCAAAGTATGTCAGATGGAGCTTCAAAATCCTTGCCTCCGAGGAGCAACTTGGCTTTACCGTCTCCATGACAGACCTGGTTGTTCTCTGGACAGTCCATGGTGTGTGTTCAATACTCTTCTCCAGTATCACAGCTCAAAGGCATTGATTTTTATTCTGCCATCCTTATTCACTATCTGATGCCAGCTCTCTGATGCAGAGCAAGTAATTGCAAATACCATGGCCTGAATCAGGCACATCTTAGTCTCCAGACTGACATCATTACTGTTTAGCACTTTGGAGAGCTCTGTGACAGCAGACTTTTCCAATGCAATTCATCTTTTGTTTTCCTGACTGCCGGTGCTAAGAATGTTAATTGTGGGACCAACAAAAGCTGAAGCTGTTAACAATCTCTGTGTCTTCATCATCTATTATGCTGCTACCAACTGACCCAGTGGTGAGAATCTTTTGTTTTCTTGATGTTGAGCTTCAATTCAATTTTGAAGACTACAGTTCTTGACCTTCTGCAGCAGCAAATATTTCAGGTCTGCCTCAGTTTTGGCAGCAGGGTTGTGTCATCTGCATGTTGCTGTTGTTATCTGAATAGTTCAGGGCATATCTTATAAATACATATAAATTAAGTCAGATGTCTTAAATGTTGCGTATTGAATTATAATTATTGTACTCTTTTTTACAACCAGTTCTTTTTTATCTTTTTTCCTTTCTTTTTCTTGTTGTGTACCATTGAATTGGATCCACCTTCTACAGTGGAGTGTCTGGTGGATTAGAACTGGGCACCTTCAGGATTGCAGTGCAGCTTCTTTCCACTAGTCTCCAGAGCTCCCTACAACCAGTCTTAAATGATCATTGCACATCATTAC